GCACTCTAATCATAACAAGGAATTCCTAATTGGCCACAACAACTTTTCTGCAACATTTTGCACTCACTGTATGTGAGCTTTGCTTCCTCACACTGAGTGCTATATGCCTGAAGAGAGACTTTACTCAACCCTGAGGCAGAGGGTGCAATGCACACGTGCAGAGTTGTTTTGTTATACACAGGCAACTCCTCAAAATGTTAAAAACATGTGCAGTAGAAATAACAATCCTCTCCAAATTTTAGGCAAAGATGGCATCATCTGAACAGCTTCCTTGATCATGTATTGTGTCACTTGGCTGGTGAACAAGAGTTTGCTCTTTTTGTAACTGTATTGCATGTTCTTTAAATTAAAAATGCTGACCCTTAATTATGGCAATGAAACATAAGGACTTAGGCCTGATTACAAAGCTTGAAGTAATACATCCCTGTGGACATGACAGCTTGTCAAAGAGAAAAAGAGGAAGATGTTATGTGTGATGGAAGACCAGTGACACAGAAACAAACGTGGAACAAGCATTTTTTCAGTTCTCATTATAACCAGGTTACACTGTACTTATTTTATACAGGAAAACAGGTGTTAGTAACATGTGATGTGGAACTTCCCATTCAATTTTTCAGGATTGTAGATTTAATTGAAATTGTTATAACTCGGCAAATAGCAACAAAAATCATTTCAATTGTCCTCTTATATACAGCAAAACTACTCTTCACATGGCATACATGCATTTCTGCCATTGTAGAGATTCACAAATAATAAGTTTACCTGCATGAAACTTTCAAGAATGTAAAATATTTGTCATTAAAATATTTTTTCCTTCTTCAGTAAAAACAAATTGACTACACACAGTGTTAGAATACAGCTCCTTCAAACTCTCAACGTGAGTGCCACCAGCTAAATTACTCACCAGGGATTAGTGAACAGCCATCATATATCATTGTTTGCTCACTTCTGATTACACTACCAGTAGCATTTAAACATGTGTGTGCTGTGTATGTGTGATGAAGGAATAAGTTGTATTTGGTATCCTCAAGAAAAAATTAAGTTTTCTCCTGGTACAGTGTCCATTTTATTAATGTATAATCACTGCCAGTAATAAAGCTAGAATAAAACCTGAAGTTCTTCCGATCAAAGAGAATAAATATACCTCTTCCAGAATGGTAAATAAAATATAGATTCTGTGAGTAGCTACAGCAAAACACCTGGGTATGCCAACTGCTACACTGAGAAAAATTAAATTTTGTCATCAGAAGCAGGGCATGGGAAAATATAACTGAAATTGAACAATGTTGTATTTTAGCGTCCTGTTGCACTGATTCTCGTCCATGATATGTATGTTTTGGCCGTCTTGTAGTGCACTCAATCTCACATGTCACTTCACTACATGTTTCGGCATCACAGTGCCATCCTCAGGTGCGTTGTTTATGCTAAACTATTGCACTGCTTGCCATCTTGTGTTGTTCATAAAATTATTTAAAATGTAAATTCTTCATCAACTATAATAAAATTTTTATAAAATTTGTATACACTAAAACTTGCTAAGGTTTATCATCTTATATGTCTTAATTCAAGCTCGCGTATAGTATGATTCTTCCACTATGGGAGTTGTTTTTCCTATATTGTGTTTACTGTGTCTTGTGACGTGTCCTTCCTTGTTGACTGTGAGCATTGTAATGTTTTAGTGTATACAAATTTTATTATAGTTGATGAAGAATTTACATTTTAAATAATTTTATGAACAACACAAGATGGCAAGCAATGCAATAGCTTAGCGTAAACAACACACCTGAGGATGGCACTGTGATGCCGAAACATGTAGTGAAGTGACATGTGAGATTGAGTGCACTACAAGACGGCCAAAACATACATATCATGGACGAAATTGAACAAGTCTTGCTAGTGCTTGAAGCAGGCTCAGAGACGCCCATTCTGATTCAGTTGGCACCCATTTTCAGGCTGGATCATGGCAATCAAGAGATACTAAAATCATTACCTGGTTCTGATAATGTAGAAGAGCTAACAGAGGATGCTGAATCAGACAGCAATAACATCTGGGACAATTTACAAGAGGAACTGATGTTTTCTTGTAGTTTGGATTGAAGAATATGTAGCAGCTGATAATATCTGGGGTAAAATGATCCAAGTTGCACAATATAAGGACAATGATGATATTATGCAAATTCCAGTATATTCTGAGGAAACCAAATGTTTGAATAAAGTAACAAAGCTTGAAGAGGGTAGTCCTTCAAATGTACCTGAACACATATAGGGGAAATTCTAGACACTGAAAATTATCTTCTTCAACAAACTGAAAGACACAAGCCTTCCTTCAAGAAACTTAATTCCTTATTTATAGTGCTGTGCTTTGGTTCTGTTAACAGTGTTAATATTTGAGTGTGATTTCAAATAAAATTAAGAACATAAGAAATTTAAACATACAATGTCTTTGGACTGCAAAGTTGTTAACAGAGCAATGATGGACATTTCACATTTTTTTAGTGATTCATGTATATAAAACTGTCAATAATACACCTATGTAGATAAGACAGTTATTCATGTACTTCTGTGATAGTGAATGATGAGCCCTGCTTTTAAAGTATAATGTTTTAGGCTTTTATACAGTACTAATTATGCCTTAAAACAATAACTGAAAACATCAGAGTCAAAGATATGAACATTTAATTTTCCAATTTAAGTATTCCTTTCTAAGAAGTTTAGCAGCAGGTCCTTTAAAAAACATCACATCAGGGTTTTCTTGTATTATATTTTCAAAGCCTCATGTTATTTCCTGACACATAATTTCTTTTTTCTCTTTACAAAACAAAGATATAATTCAAGGCATGTTCAGAATGTCAATACTAGCTACTGCTACTACATGTTCCTCCAAAACGTCAGCCAAAACGAAGAATACACGGCGCCAAAACCCAGAAGACGACTTTCTTCATAGTCATCGCCGTGAAAACCTCAAAACTTACAAATTAGAAAACTGGTTCCTAAAAATAACATAATAAATACTGAAAAGGCTAAAGCAATACTATTTCAGGGAAGAGGATCTAGTTTTAAGTTACGGAGCCATTCTGTATCTAAAAATAAATAAATAACTTACCAAATTTAACATTTTTAGGTATGTATATCACAGATAACTTAAGCTGGGCAACTCATGTAAAATATCTTTGCCATAAATTAAAAAACTCCTTATCTGGTTATATCCATATGAGACTCAGTAAGTTTACGAGACTAAGAAATGTTTATTTTACTAAATCTGAATCCATACTGAAATCTGTTATTATTTGGGAGGGGGAGTAAAAAACAGTAATAGTCTTTAAATTACAAAGGAGTCTAAAGTTCATTAAAGGAGTGAAAAACAGGGTGTCCTGTAGAAGAAGCCTGTTTGTTGAATTTAAGATTCTAACATTAACTTCTTTATATATATATGAGATCTTTTGCTTTTTTAAAAAGAACAAGATCTACACAACTCATTATTCTGACATTCACAAGTATAACACTAAAGGTAAACAGGATTTGTGTGTTCAAACATACACTGTTTGTTGCAAAATAAGTGTAATTAACATGGGAATTAAAATACATAACAGCTTGCCCCCTCAATTAAAAAGAATAGAACATTTTGAAGTTTATAAAAATACATTAAAAAGTTATTTATTATAAAACTGTTTTTATTCTCTGCAGGAATTTTTTAGTAACAATGATGGATGATAGTTTGGTGGATCGGGTTGGTTCTGACATGGTGTGGATGTACACAGATGGTATAAGTGTATGTGTTACTTTATATAGGATTCTTGGGGGGTTGGCATCCATGGTTGCCATCTTCAGCAGGGGGACAATAATCTTAAGATGACTGTATTGTTCATAGTTTCGTGTATCGTTTTGTACATTTTTAAGAGTTGTTGAGTTGTAGTGTTTTAGATGGTTTAAACTGATTTCCCCAATTATACTTAGTTTATGGATGTGAATAAATTATGAATTATGAAATTGAGACAAAAAAGACACCGTGTTAAAGATATGTATACTGCTAAATTCCTACTAATGAATCTCTTAAGGAATGGCATCTCTTCCATTGAATGTTTTCATAAATGGAGGTTATGCAGACCTGCATTAAGAAACCTTTCATTGTCTTTGAAGACTTACTGTATACAATTATGATAACTTCTTTATGTAACCAATTAAAGAGCTTCTTTCTACAAAGATAAATACTATTACACTATCAATATCAATTTCATTTATAAAATGACTAATGAAATAATAACTAAAAGAACTTATGCTGGGAATCAAAGCAACTATGATGCTGCAAACAGAACAGTATTGGTGTTGTTTATTATGTAACATCGCTTGGCACAGGTTAGAGTCATCCCATAACAATTTTTGGAACAGGGAAAATGTGAATGTCAGTGTTTATTCTGACAATCACACTCAACTGAGGTATGAATTTTGGGTCAAAAATTTTGTACACTAAATGCTAGTTACTAAACTGAAACTTGCTAAATAGGGGAAGAAAGAAATTCATTGTTTACATGGGCTCCAGCTGGGACTGGAAAGAATACTCATTAAATGCAAGAACCCTAAAGCAGGACTTCATTTTACTTTCAAACATATATGCATAAACATTAAAATAAGTTAAATCATTGTCTAAAGGCTTTCACCAGATGGAGCTATAATTTAATGATAACAAAGGCTTCCTGTGACAAAGATTGCTTAATTTCACTACTGACTGCTGGCAAACTGTGAATTTCACATTTATGGCAATGTTTTACAAGATCAAAGTAAGTCATTAAATCATTTAATGCAGAATTATTTCACGATTAACAACTTAAAAAAGTATGATTGTTTAAGATCCTCATACAGTATACTTGAAATCTGCTGCTACATTGCCAAGCAATAACAATTTATTTATAACTTGAAACTTCTTAATTAAAAGACTGGTAGATATTTTATGGCACTTTTAATAGGAAATATTGAAGAGGGAATATGTTTTTGTCATTCAATACCATGTGCAAAAATCATGACGAGTCCTGGCTCTACTATCATGTCATCGCTCATGTGGCTGTTGTCGCAGTGAAGTACCACAACTGCTTGTTTACCAGGAACTCGTTTACACACATAATTCTCATACTGGCGCCTGTTATTCTGTCGTGTTTCCAATGAACAAAGACCTGGTGGCCAGTGAAGTTCATGTGCATTCTCCATTAGATCATCCACAATGTGCAGTGGGCAACCAGATTCTGACAAGGTACGCTTGATCATTGCCTGCATATTTAAAGAAAAAGAACACATCTTGAAAATGTGTATATTTCCTTCAGGTATCTATATACAGTCAACTCTCGATTATCCGGGGGCGGATTAACCGGTTTGCGGCTTAACCGGGGCTTTTTTTTTTAAGTTTATATGTTGTTTAATATTCATTCACTTTTGTTTCACATGGTGAGTTTAACACTATTTTCGCACTAGTGTGAACCGAGCTCTGCATTATTTCGTCCCGTTATGCGAACACAATGTTCTAGGGTGGGGGTGAAAGAATGCAAGAATTTTTGGAAAGTTTCAAGGACAAATACACCGCCCCAGGTTATTTAACGGTACCATCTCAGTGTGAGAGTGCATTGTGAAAGTAAGTATCAGTTTCTTAATATAGATCTTCAAGTGCGTTAGCAAAATGTCGGGGTTTAAAAGGAAGCGTGTTGTGTTAAGTATTCAACAGAAACTTGAAATTATCAATCAGCTGGAAAAAGGAGCTGTAGTTAAACAATTAGCAATGCAATANAGTGTTGCCAGTAAGAAAGTATCACATGGTGCTGCGCTTAATCATTTGGAATCCTTACTAGACTATCTTGAGAGTGAAGAGGACAGTTTATTAAGTGACAAGCTAATATTACGTAGGCTTCGTACGGATATCCGTAAAAAGGAAAATGCCGCGAAAAAGCAAAAGACAGTATTAAATTATTTTAAGTGTTAAGTGTGACCGTAAAAAGTGCTGGATGTTGTTGAACAGTGATTGAAATAACTAATTCATACTGAGTGTAATGTAAAGAAAGTATTAAATAGGCCATGAGATGACATAGAAATGAGGATGAATAAATTTAAATACAGGTAGGTCTATAGTATTATGAAGGTATTAAAAGGTAAAAGGTAAAGTTGTTCCTCTGCTCAACGAATTAAGCCCTACGCCATTAAGGCGTGTGGGGGAGTGGATGTATAGATCCAAATTTTCTTGACCTCGGCACTAGTTGGAGGTGAGTGGTCAGCTTCACGCCCCGGCCGCTTTACCCCCGGGGAAAGAGCCCCCGGTACCCATTGGATAGGAGGTTGGATGGACCCCAGAGCCGGTCTGGACGATTTGGAGAAGTTAAAATTCTTGACCCTACCGGGACTCGAACTCCGACCCTTCACAGTCGTCCAGCCCGTATAATAAAATTTGGCTTAACCGGGTTTTCGATTAACCGTGACTTCCATCCCCACCATTAGCCCGGATAATCGAGAGTTGACTGTACATAACCAGATATGGTTGATTACACAATTTTTGCCTCCATAAAAAGCATACATAAATTATGAGCATGACGATGTGGATTTTTATGTGCAATTTAAATGTTTTTTACAAGTATTTCAGACACCAGTTTTCACCATCCTGCAAAAGGTCCGATAAATTATAAACAATGAAAACCTGTCTTACTAAGACCATCTGGAATTATAAATAATGTAATCATGCAGCAACATGGAATTTAAACTTACTGACATAACAATGATATGCTTAACAAGAGGCTGTTGATGTCATTCACATGCCTGTTATCCTTTAAATGCTCCCATATATTTACACAGCTTATAAATAAGTATAAAAATCAGAGATATACTTCTGTACAACACTTATAGCACAAATTCCCACTACAAGGTACATTTAAGATAAAACACTGATTGTCATTCGTGATCTAAACGGGATATATTCTTGGTTTTGGATAGATGAAGAGTCCTCTAATAGAGGCATTATACTCCAAATCTGACACATCATGCAGTACTTTTGACATCAGTACACTGGTATGTTTGTATTCGCCAAAAGGCTAAATATTATTTGGCTGCATAGAATTAGGTTAAATTATATATTCATGATTTACCTGAAGCACGTCATCAGGGGTTGATATCATTCCTCCCCACCTAGTAACACGAGCCCTTGTCAATGAATTTGACCATCGTAGTACTTCGTCACGTTCCATCTGATCAGCAATGGCTCGCATAGCTGGATTTGATATACGCATAGCTCGCATGAAGTCCTGGTGAAAGTATACAAAATTACATAATTTACATTTAAATAATGAATTATTTCAGAGCAGCATATCCAAACAAGAATTCCATGGGCACAGTGAATTTCTATATTTAGCTGACATCCGAGTTTCTGTTGTCTCTTCTACTAAGAAATCTGGACAATAAAACACATCTCAGAATACCTTCAGAAGTTGTAGTTCTCTTTTTTGTTCACTAATTTGGAAACGTTGTTCTTCCATTTCTTGTTTGAAATCAGCCATTTTTTGCTGCTGTGAGTGAATGAGGGCACGGAGTTCTCTAACACAGTTATGGTCCTTCAGTTCATCTTTTGGAATAACCAGACCACATCCTTGTTCACAAGGCACTGGCCGTTTGGGATTATGTTCACATTCTTCCAGATGAGAGGGCAGAGAGTCCAGTTTCATAACAGATTTACACCCATAGCTGGCATTGTCACAAGTTATGCACAATCTGTTAAGACAACAAACACACCATTATTTACATGCCCTCTGAATTAATTAAATTGGTTCATTTCCTTTGTTTAACATATTCTCATTGCAAGGTAGCGACAGAGGTAGGAAATGGAACAGTGAAAGCTGCTTTTGATAGATTAGACTGAATGGAAAGTGTGTACAAGCACGGATGCTCAAAAACAAAAAGGTTCATCCTTCTATTTATTGAACAGGAACTGTGGCTGTTTTCAGTGGGTAAGATCAATATTTTAAATCATGAAATAGCAATCCCTTGCTGACTATAGATTTCAAGTATCTATGGATTTCCACTTGTATCCAGTATTGCCAAATGCAATATTTTACATTGCTGTGGCTTTTAATATGTGTACACTGGAAAAAAAAAATCAATGGCTCATCACTGAATAAAACGACACTTAAAAGTTCGGGCTGAGCTTTTATCCAGTGGCACAAATCCATACGCTGAGCATGATCGCCTGGTTCCAGATGTTGTACCCTTTGATCATGGTAAGGATACAACTCTTCATCATGTAAAATTCGCCACACCTGCATACATGATACGCCGATGCGAGAGGCCATTCTACGAGTGGACAGACACGGACTTCTCTGAACCATCGGAAGAATGTTCTCTTGTGTGTTTCTCATTTGTACATCCTCCCTTTCAGAGTGCACAGAAACACTCGGAAGAGAACCATATCACGCAATGTCTGGGGAATACACTTCAAGATGGAATATTTCGATCGGGAAAACGCCTTTGGTATTCAACAGCAGCACGTGCATTGCCACCGCAAAATGCATATCACAATATTCCACATGTGAAAACACAAAAGGAATTTCACCAACTCCGCACAACTAATTTACCAACCATTCACAATGGGGCCGCAACGTACCCTGAAGGTAGCACATAAGCTTACGGCTAGTGTGAATCACCACACTCAAGGACAAACATAGACGAGACTTGTCAGATTACAGGGACAGTGCATGGACCCGCCAGAAGACCACACTCTTCTTGGGCCATTATCTCCATAACCATTCAACTTTGGACATATGTGTTTTGGGTTATATCCGCATACTTTAACATGAGGAACACCCTCCCGAAGTCTGGCACATTCCTCCTGGGACACCCTATATATATTTAGGTTGTGAAGTGAATCACAGAATACACAGAAATTTGATGGGCAGCCAGAGGCTATGCTGGCCAATGGTCTTTTCAATAGCAGTAAGCAAGTTTAGTTGACTCTATCACTGAAATTCTTTAATAACCATGTTCATACCAGTGGCACAGATCCTCAATCTGTACCATGGAACGTGGCAGTGCTCCATTCTTCACTGCAGTCGTCGTTTCCATACTAAGTAAGCAGATTCACTCAGTATAGACAGATTATCAGAGTGTCAACCCTGATTAGGAAACAATCATGTACAGGGAACCATAATGGTATAATGTGTTATGTAACAATATGTAAATAGTGCATAATAATAATAATAATAATAATGATGATGATGATGCACACAGGCTGATCTCCTTAAGCTGAACTTATTCCAGAAACTCTGTCCTAAAGGTATAATGATAATCCATTTGGTGGCAGCATGTTGAATTAAGCGTCAGACTCCCCCAGCTCCTCAGCCCTCCAACTCAGACTACTGAAAGACCCCTCAGTCTGTACTATGCCTTTTGAGAAGTCAGATGGCTACTGGAGTGCAGAACAATTGAGTGAGGTAGGACAGGCTGCTCAGCTACATGTGTGGAGGTAGTTCAGATGCAGACATGACAGAGGTAACTCCATACCCCATGCATGATCTGTAGTCAGTGCCATCTTGTGGAGGCAATGACCATGGTAGAACACCATGATTTGCTTATGGTAGTTTGGTTTTTGCTATACAATATGCCTCTGCCATTTCATAAATAGCATCTAACATAGTTCCTTCTTCAGAAGCATTGTGCCACTCTTTCTCTCATCAATGTGCTTTTAAAGAAGACTTCGTTTATACAGTTTTTCAGCCTACTTTCCTTTCCTAACACACTGAGGACCAGTCGCATGATATCATGCTTTTGGCTTTTAAATGTGACAGACCGGTCACAGAATATCAGGATTTTAGGACAAGTTAGTTTGTAACACACTATACCTTCCTCTGGCGCCACCCAAGTTGCACGCAATGGCGTAATAAAACTCTTGAATGTTTGCTTACTCGTCAGTAATTTGACATCGCTGTTTTGTTAACCCACTATAAAGGACAATGCTTTGCTGCAATTCGAGTTCTACATATCAGCCAGTAGTTAGTGGTGGGGTATGGACAAGGACAAATTCTTTTCTGATGAGCCAGATGACTTGCCTTGCTAGACGCATAGTCATTCAGAGATTCAGAGAGCGGCAGTGACAGGAGTGAACAAATAATTGTGGCCACAGACAGTAAAAGTGACAGTAGCTCCGATGATAATGTGTTTAATAACATAGTGGGGACAATTAAAAAAAAAAACCCACAAAAATCTAAACCCTGATTTGAAATTGAAATACAAAGCATTTCTGATGAATATGGCAAAGGCCTGGGCTACAGAGCAGATGGTGGCGGCAGAACCAGAGTCAGATACAGACTTAGTGTGACCGGGCCCTCCCACCCCATGCAAGCCTCATGTGGACCACCCAGGGCTATTCTCGGGTGATATGCGTAAACATACCCTCATGAAAATTGTGAAGAGTGAACATTCCCAGGGGAAGCATCCTTCTAGGCAATGCTGTGTTTGCACAGTTCATAAAAAACGGAGTATGTCTACATTCGCAAGTTCTATGTAATGCCACTTCACAAAGGGGAATGTTTCCAGAACTATCACACCCTCAAGCATTTCTAGGAGCATTGGTAAGTGTTCTCAAAAAATTTTAGTACATAAAATTAATTAGGAGATTTTATATTAATTTTTAAAGTGAACAGGGCACAAGTTAGGATAGTAGGTTTAATAATGCCAGTCCCCGGGGTGATTTATATATTTAAATCGCCGGTCCACAAAGTGTTAAAAATAAATAAATAAATAAAAGGGAAGTGAAATAGAAAAAGCATCAGCAATGCCATTAGCTTTTGGTGGTTAAATAGCATCAACCTGAAATCAAGCACAACTGTCACCATTCTTAGGGTCATGAAAAGACTAGCTACATCACTAGATACCTGACTTTATAAAGCAGTTGGTTTCATAGATGCTTACTGCCACTGTTTTATGAACTACACAACACTCTGAAGTCTTAAAACGTGAAATCTGAAGTTCAATAAGCATCAATATCCAAAATGAAAAATTGTATCTGGTTGAATTTTGAAGTAAAGTCATCACGTGGGCTATTGGGCCACATTTGTTTACTTCATATTTTCAGATTTTAAGAGTACACTGTACAACACACATGGTATTTTAAAATACATCATTAATCTAAACATAACATTTTACTATAACAATATATGGTATGACTTTGTGTAGTCTAGTTCCATGGAACATATTTTCTTTGCATACTGACAATACAGGTACCTTGATAGTAAGTTCCTTAATATCCGAGGTACTGGTCTCAATTGTGCAGATGTGATAGCTTGTCGGTCAACAGGACATGTTGGTTGACGACATATCCATTCCTGGATGCAACCTCTGCAGAAAGCATGCTCACAGACAGGAGCCTGTCAACAAGAACATACACATCCTTGATAATATTTCTGTCATTTGAACAGAGTAGTTAGAATTCACAGGAAATTACTACAATTGCTGAAACTATCGGCCTTCACATTGGATACAAGTACAGCAATAGCTCGCATAGTTCGGCTTCGATCAGTCCGGATTCACTATGGCCCGGTTTGAAAATTTCAGAACAAACTAAATTTTAATTGAGCAAAATAAAATTAAGTTCTAAAAAATTAGTACACAAAATTATTTTTAATACATAAATGATCGGTTTTTTCCCTTTTATATAGTCAAGTCTCTTTTTGTGCAGTTTATTTTTATGTGGTTTTAAAGTTATGAGATACAATAGACATTTCAATTTTTTCTGGGGTTCCCTGTTGTATATGTACGTACCTATACAGGGGTTGTTCATTCTTGAGCTCTGACAGCTATCACTGGAGGAGGTGGGGAGAGCACTACTTTAACGGAATTTTGGAAGAGCTACAACATCAGAAATGTTATTGAAAATATAGGCAAAGCATGGCATGAATTAATGGCAAGCAATATGAAGGCAGTATGGAAACATATCATACCACATTGTGCAAAGGATTTCACTGCTTTTGAAACTCATTTTGTTGAAGTCACTAATAACATAGTGGAAACTTGACAGCAACTTGGCTTCAGTGAGTTGGATTCCATCAACGTAATTGAGTGTATCAAATCAAACACTAATGAACTAGATAATGAAACACTTATTAACATATATGAACAATGGGAGGACAACTCAGATGACGAAGATTGTGTTGAAGTGCCTGCAAGAGAATTAACACCTGAACAACTATCAAAAATTATTGGAATGGTTGAAACCTTGTCAGAGCATATTATGGAAGCTGATCCCAATACTGATCGTAGCCTTACAATTGGCCGAACTATAACCAATGCAATTCGATGCTACAAAGAAATGTATGAAGAGAAAAGGCCAAAGAAGAAAAACGTGCAGATATCAATATTGCAATTTTTAGAGAATAAAAAATGAATTGCAAAAAACATAATTTTTTAAATCATTTCTAATAAAGACATCTGAATTTATTAATCACATTCTATTTATTGAAAAACGGAGAATTTATTTTTTTGCAACCAATCATCATTTCTTGTATGTATTTAGTTCCACGATTAGTCTGGTTTCAAACAGTTCAGGATATTGGTGGGACTGATTACTCGGACTATACAAGGTATTGCTGTACTCTGCTATTGCTGAGCCTACCAAGAAACTTTATGTTCAATCATAATTTTATAATAATAAGAGAGGGCTGACAGAATATCTGAAGTTAAGAGAGAAAGAAAACACAAGGTGGTTCAAATATGACCGGGATTGATTTGTGTATAAACAAGCCACACTGTGCAGCAGCTGTGTGACCTTGAGAGAGTGAAGCCACAACCTCCACCCTCCCTCCTGTTCGGGTTAGAACCTGTTTAGTCCTGTCTGGGAGTTGCTAGAATGATGAGTGAACAGAAGGTACCGCAGAGCACGGAATAATGCATTGTGATCAAATTCCTAGTTGGAGAAGACGTCCTGTCTGCTGAAATTCAAATTCCTACTTGGAGAAAAACGTCCTTTATGCTGAAATTCACCAGACTCCAACAACAGTATGGGGAAGAGTGTCTCTCACGGACCTGTGTTTGAGTGGTGTGTCAGGGAGGGCAGAGAGCGCGTGGACAATGAACTGCATAATAGTCGGCCGCAAACATCCATCACCGAGCCAAACACTGATCGTGCAGACGCGCTTATTCGTGAGAATTGGCACATCACTATCAAGGAACTTGGAGCAATGCTGTCCATCAGTCTTGGTAATGTAGAAGACATCGTGAAATACCACCTGCACTATCGCAAGGTGAATGCACAGTGGGTACCACGCACTTTGATGGACTGGCAAGCTGCCAGTCATCTCCTACAGCAGTTTGAAGAAGAAGGTGATGCATTTTTCAAGTCTATAGTGACCACCAATGAAACTAGGGTGCACTACTTCATTCCCGAGTCCCAGCAGTCATCATGCGAGTGGCGGCATACCAGTTCTCCCAAACTCAAGAGAGCACGGAGGAGCCGTTCAGCAGGAAAAGTGATGGCAATGTTCTTCTGGGACTGGCAGGGGGTTATCCATGTAGACTTTCTGACAGATGCCAGAACAGTCAATGCAACTTATTACTCAGACCTCCTGGCAACAGACGTGAAGGAAATGATCCGATCCAAGCGGAAGACAGGTGGAAAGCGGGTAGCCTTCCTTCAAGACAATGCATGCCCCCATATGGCCAAAACATCAATGGAAACCCTCTGGAAATTGAAATGGAACCTTCTGACACATCTGCCATACAGTCCCGATTTGGCCCCAAGTGATTTCTACCTGTTTGGAGGGCTCAAATCAGACTTGCAAGGCATGTGGTTTGTGGACGACGCCGTCATCCAGACTGTTCGGGAGTGGATACGCCGCCAACCACAAGCCTTTTTTGAAAACGACATCAGGATGCTTCCAGAACGTTGGAAAAAATGTGTTGATTCCAGAGGGGAGTACGTTGAAGACTGACATGTGCAAGTAAGTGTTTGGCAATTATGGTTTAAAGAAAATTAGTCCCGGTCATATTTGAACCACCTTGTATATGGAACAAACATTTCAAATGAAAATCATATTGTCAGATCTTAGGACTATGCTCTCATAAGGTTCCATTATTGTTGCTGATATTTCTTTTTACTACATCATTCTTGCGCTTTCTGGCAAATTCCTGGCAGTTGTGAGAAGACTGGACACATACAATCCTTCATTACTGGCGTATACACTTCCCTCACGTGTTCTCTGCAGCTTTCTGAAGGACTCCTAATATTGAATTTCATCAGAATCCATTCAGTGGTTGTTATCTAATTGGGCAAACATTTTCACTTTAAACTTCTCTTTGAATAAATTTAATATTAAGCTAATACACATGTACTCCCCATGAAAATATACTTCTATGATGACCATCTATATCAAAATCAAATGGCCTTGGAACTCTTAGTAAAGGTAAAAGGTAAGTTATCCCTGGGCTCCATTAATTAAGCATCACACCTGTACATGCATGGGGAAGAGAAAAAATAGATCCACCATTCTTAATCTCAGCACTAGATGAAGGTGAGCCATCAGCTTCATGCCCCTGCTGCTTTACCCTTGGGGATACAGCACCAGTACCCACTGCATAGGAGGCTTGGCGAGCCCTACAGCCAGTCTGGACATCATGGAATGGAGAAAAATCTCCTTAGTAAGGACTACTATTATTACATTTCATTATAATCTGTTCAGTGACTCTTGACTTAAAATGTGCTGACAGCCGCTGCAGTTCCAGACAGAACTCATAATGCCTACTGTCCTGTCACAGACTTCTACAAACTGCATGCTGCTAAGTCATATATAGGTGATGTGAATTTATTATCAAATAATGAAATGCAGTTTAGTTCATAAGCTAGCTTGCTGGAATTATGTGTAGATGATCATACGATTAAAACTTGGTAGAGACAAAATTCTTTTATAATTTGCAACTTTAAAAATATGAGTTAAAATTATGATCTTCCATGGATTCATGCCAATGAACTTCAAGTACTGCCTATCAAAATAATAATGCCAGTGGGAAGGTAAAGTGGGGAAGGGCATACAGCTTACTATATTCCCACAGAGCAAAGAAGCAGGGAACTGTACCCACTGACACCTACATTGTGTAAATTGTAGCATGTAGACCTGTTGCTGAGCAAAGACCGTGAGATAAGCAAATATGCAAGAGCCAGTGCTGAATAACTGTTTGGCAAACAAGCATGTTCCCACGGCAAAGACAGAACTATGACAATAAGGAACAGTGTTTACTGTGTGGCCCATGCCAAGATGTTATAAGTGAGAGGATGGGAGCTGCAGTCAGTCAGTCAGTCAGTCATTCAGTGAAGAGCAGATTAGGGGGTTGGTGTGAAATGGCCGCCAGCCTGGGAGTTGAAGCAATGAGTCAGTTGTATTAGACAGCAGGCAGCAACGTGAGAAGAAAAGCTAAAGAATCTCCATTATTAAGATCTGTTACCAGAAAATGACTAGTAAAAGCGGAATGAGAAGACTTAGATTGTACTCTAGTGATTTCTGAAGTGTGGAGATTAGCAATAGTGTTATAGTTACTTGGAGTTATGAGTCATGTGTATAAGTGTGCAATTAATCAAATTACCGATTCAAACCCCATCTACAGTCACACTCATGTGCATGGCAATATGTTCACTGCAATGCAATTTAGTTCTCTCAATTTTTCTTACCTGAAGTGGGTCTTCTAGTACTCCTGAGCAAATTGGACATACCAGTTCTTCATCAACTTCACCTTGAAATCGATTCACTTCAAATCCCATTATGTACAGTCCTGAAATTATTGCATTTAATAACTGGGGTTATTTACTAGCAGCATATTTCACAGCTCTCATGTTCTGTTTCAGGTTTAAGGTTTCTTTGAGTTTAATATGCACATGTTTCTCTTGTACACCTGCAATAGTATAGTAACGGCATTATGTGAAGATTTCTATTTGTCGTTATCTCCTTTAAAGTCTCTATAAGGAAGTTTTTTTTAAAGCAACAATCCCAGAAACTTGAAGAACTGAAATAAAAACACCAAGAAAATTCTGAATGAGGTAAGGCAACCTACTGGACCACAAGTGATAGGTGACCTTTGAAATTTTCAACTTTGAGGCTGACTGGATCCAGAGCAGCGTTTTCCAAGTGTTTGTTTTTCCCCCTTCCTCTGAAAAAAATCAAAATGTTGTGTAATTGGCTTCCTACAATGTTCAGAGCCCATATTAAGCTGCAGGTACCCCTGTATGTCATCTCATTCACCCTCATTAATGTGGGCAAAATGGAAATCCCACCGTTTGCTCTCATGTAGAAGTGTACATTCATACCGTCAACTGTGTCAAGGAAAGTCAAAGACCGTATGTGGAGGCATAACTTTATGCTATAACATAAAGATTAATTGCTCAAATTTGACACATCATAATCAGTAATTCCAATTATTATACATTCTTTATCAGAAAGAAATCTCTATAGGTAATGCTAGAGTCACATCTATTCTCTAAGTGACAGTGCTATTTACTGGAAACAGTTTCCTTTTTCTCTTCTGGATTTGACGTTATTATTAAAGTTACCAAAAAAAATCTGGAAAATTAATGGAGTGTTTAGTGTGATCCACTAATCTCCACTTTTAAAGAATATATTTTTAAATTACCCACCTAGAACCTAACACTCCTCACTTAAACTTCAATATAATGTCAGCAGCAACCACTTTCAAATGGGCACCTTTTCTCCAGACATACAGTAACTCGGCAGCTTCTTAAATTTAAACTAAATTTTGAGGTGTACAATATTGAAATGAATTTGTGTTTCCTTGCTGTAGGCAGGGGAGTGGGCTGATCGCCAGGAATTCCACCATGAAACTATTTCCTCTAAATAAGCATGATGGTTCCAGTATGTCAGATTCATTTTTACTGAAGGTTATGTCATGTGATGTGGTTTTTACATAAATTTACACTAGTAACACTGAATTTCAACTGTGACTAAGAATTAAATTAAGAAACAGCTAAAAACCTCATTTTCTTTTTACTGTAGTATGATTTATTGTGCAGTGATAACTATGAGATTTTAATGCATTCTTTATATTGTCCACATTAATGGTTCTCAACTATTTAGTTTGTCTAAAAATGTCAATTTATATAATTTAAAGATGTATGTCTTTAAGCTGGGAATTATACTATTATGATAGACATAACAAGTCCCACTGTCAGACACAGTTTGCTTGTCACCGTTTCCTCTATATCAGGTAACACAACCAATAGTTTGGACATAGGCTGTACCATGTCCTAGACACCATGTGATGTCTGCTTTTTTACAACAACATACGACATTGAACTACCATACATTTAATAATGAAGTGGTATATACTGTTGTGTTTAACGAAAATGACTAAGCTACAGGGATTATGCATGCTCTACAAGTCTGGGTCTGAAGTGTTAAAATCTAAGAGGCATTTTAATCACATTGAATATTCGCAATTGCGTACAAGAACATATTAAATGATTTTATTTTCAGGCTTATTTGTTTTTCATGCATTCATCTACCCATTTCTGAGCAGAACACAAAAAATTCTGTAACCACACTGCTCATTGTACCAAACCTTTACATGTGGCAGTGAAGAATCAATGCTCGAATAATAGTAATTTTTCCAGCTATCATAAAACAAACCTAATACTGCCTACAATTTTCAGATCAGCATCAAGTAAGCTGCACATCACTGTTTAAGAAACAATGGCCTACACACTGGCACTGAAGCTAGTCAACACTTAATTTACAAAAAAGTATGTATTCCTATACTGAGGCTGTGGAAAGAAGTTCCATAGATTGACCCTTCCATATCTCTCTCTCAAACTGGTATAGTTACCCCTCCAGCAACGCTGATAGTGATAGTCAGAATGATTACTTTCATCAATGACCAAAGATTTTGGCTGGAAGACACAGGTTACAAGGGGTTGGAGGGGAATAAAAAGTGGACAGAAGGGGAAACAACTTGATCACTGTAATCTCCACTATCCATGGGACTTACCTCCATGGCCTCTGTATAGCACGTTTCAGTTCCTATATATTTAGGCATGCCACATATGAGCATCACATAAAGTCAGATATCACAAACTGCTGAAGCAATCTAAAAGATAATTTTGCCTAACAATACATCGCTAGTTGAGTTTATTCTGTTGGAAATGATGAGTAAATATATCACTGAACTGTATAATGGCTAATTTATAATTCTGACTAGTACCCTGTACTGATGAGGCCATTTTACATAAAACAAGCATAAGTTCTTTTTAGACTGCTGACATTTATTTAATGCTCAGTTTCTCAACTGCCTAACCCCATTAAATCTGTAACTTCAGAAAATAACATACAAGATTCCTAACACTTCTTATGGAATTTAAACAGAGAAAATAATCTTCTTTGAAACACACTTCAAACAAATGGGGATTTACAGGGCATCCCGTCTAATAATTTCAAATTGTCTGAACCTAAACTTAGTTGGCCTTCTGTCAAGGTGAAGTGGGTCACACATAAAGTAAACGATACCTGTTACAAGACTGTCATGTGATAATAAGTGCACCTTTTATTTTTGTGAATCACTGAAAATACATTCTTTTGACAGGCCAGCTGTGAAATTCACTGCTTATTTAGTTTGTGGTTCATTTAATGTCAGTGTCATTATCTCTGAATTATTATAACACCAAATAGTGGGGCAATTAATGATTCAAAGGATATGGAAGGAACAAATTATAGTCCAATTTAGGTACTATCATGGCACTAGGACAGAATTCGGAAAACCACAAAAACTTCTGTCAGGATAGTCAGTACCCCAGCCAAGATTCATCCAAGGCACTTCATGAATACAAGCTTTACTACATAATACTTGTTCTGCAGAATTCTTTGTGTGTGCAACTATGATAAAGTATGTTACTGAAAGTGTATTTTCTTTTGACAAAAGCAATTATAAATGTCACGCTTCAGAGTTGTGTAAAAAGTGTCATGAAACTGGGTTTACTGTCAGTACGAGAATGTGGTGACACCAAACTCTCTTAAGAAATCAAAACAAGATATGAACTGAATATAGTTAAGCCACTTAACAGATCATTCTAAGACATTGGCATATGTAAAGTATCCATTCACACGGCCACAGAAATTCTGAAATTTTAACTGTATAGTACATTGGTAGTGTATAAAATTTTCAACCTGAAATTTGAGTTTTGAGGCTAAACTATTGGAATTACAAAATTATGAGACTCTAAACAATCCAGACTCAGTTCTGAATATTATTTTACAATTCCTAACAAATACTATTGGTGTGAAAATGTCAATGGTATAGCCTTATGTTCTAAATCATGTGACTATACAGAATACAAGTGAAGGAAGTATAAAAGGTACAGGTAAAGGTAAAGTAGTCCCTGTGCTTAATTAAGCACTACACCACGAAGGCGTGTGAGAGAGTAGATATATAAAATCATATTTTCTTGACCTTAGCACTAGTTGGAAGTGAGTGGTCTTGATTTAGAGAAGAGAAAATTCTTCACCCTACCGGGACTCGAAATCCAAATCTTCAGTCATCCAGCCCGTAGTCAGTCACTATATCGACTATGCTAACCTGAATCCCACTGAATGAAATATGCAACCAAAATTTTATTTATGAGAAATTAAAAATTGTGAATGAAGGAACTAGAAGCCACATTTTTTTAATTTCTCATAAATAAATATTTTCGATCAAATATACTCATATGCACGCTATATATTAAAACTGGAACTTTTCGGAGACTGCACAATTTGTTTGCAGGTTATTGAACAAATTGCTTTATATATTTCCAGATATTTTGACATTTATACTTCCAACACTACACTGTAAGCCTAATTCCATAGTTATATAACAAAAGCGAAGGGATCTATTAACCAGTTACCTGTAAAAGAACCAGCAACTTTCGTAGGTCGGAACTTAATTCGGTACTGTAATAAATTATTCTCTTGTCCCACAGTCACATTTCGTCACAGATATTTGCAAATCGAAAAGAGCCTTAAGGTGTGATTACTCTGCTTAAAATTATCTATAATGGGAAAACTGCAAACTTGAACTTCTTTTAGCTGCAAAATTAGCGCATTAACGACCTACGTGATGGCCAGTACAGGCGTATTCAATTCCAGACGTAAACTATTATAATAAATATACTGCTTCGACTACCGGATCCTAGAAATCACAAAACACTGGAAAAAATACGGCATTTATACATTTTTTCTGTTACAATTAAATTATTTCACTCTCCATTGTTTGCCACCTACTGATTCTCTCCTGTATTTACAGACCGATTTTTCGCTAAATTAACAGCTTTCTGTGGTGTGAAATACTCTTACTTACTTTGGCACTGTCACTACCGTCACTACCTTTGGTGGCATTGAGTTACTATTCTGTTCTGTGGACACTACACGGTCACCATACGAATCCACGATCTCCACGATCGCTACTATCAACTCATCATACTTTCCCCAAACACTATCACGGATAACTTTATCAATCCTTTAACATATTTAATACAACTATGTTCTTTTTACGTGAACAGTATGGAAATCTGTCACATTCAGAAATTATACGATACTACCTACCTTGTCACTGAACTGTTCCATCTTCTTTACAGATTAAATTACATCCACGGATCACTTCTAAAAACACGGTCCTGAAACCTGTTAACCAACGAATAAATTACATCCACAGATCACTTCGAACGATAATTGGGTTCAATAAGTAAGTGAAAAACTAGACCACGGATTAAAAACCAAATATAGCACGTACAATCTACGTACAGATCTAATAATTCGTCGCCGATATGGAATGCAGTGATTCATAATATGCATTATCTATCTATCTATCTTACGCCATATGACGGTCATCACCGTGGTACGAAATGTATTTGCGATATTGTTTCATGAGTGCAAGGGTCGGTAGTAATTGCCCAGGTTAATTGTTTATTATCGTAGTACGTAATAAGCGTAATAAAATTCCAATGAATTCGGATTTTTCCCGCCTCTTCAGTTTATCTATTCAGTTTTATAAATGAAGTGTTTCGAGTTCTTAGCATTAACATGCATGAGTGTGGAATATCTTGGGATCTTTAAGCATTTCGATGTGGTAATTATGAAATACTGTTATCAAAACAAAATGTTAATGGAGAGTCCTATCTTGTGTGATGCAAATCCGTGTAGCCCACTGAAAGTCAACCGACGTTTCGGAGGAACATGTTGCACCTTCAGTGCCGAAGAATAAGCTAAGCAGGAAACCAGCTCGAAAGTGTGTGGCAAGCAGCGCTTGGCTTGTTATTCGTCCCGGAAGGTAGAGGCGACGGGTTCCGCCAGAACGTCAGTTGGTCTTCAACACACTACACGGCATGCCTATTATTATGCGGTGAGTATAATGTGGTTTAATATATTTAAATTTTGTGCTTCATATCAGAAACCCATTTCACTACAAGAACAATGTTCAAAATCCAATCATACAAGATCTACCATATCCCCCACCCCGACGATACAGATCAAAAATCGCAATCTACGTAAAGCCCCAGGATATGATCTTATTACAAGCGCCATACTGAAACAACTTCCAAAGAAAGGACTAGTATTATTAACAACCATTTACAATAGTATGCTTAGACTAGCATATTTTCCGCTAATATGGAAATTCGCCCAGATCATAATGGTGCCTAAACCCGGCAAACCTATCAACGAAGTCAGTTCTCATCGACCAATCAGCCTACTGCCAACACCATCAAAATTATTCGAAAAACTACTCCTCTCCAGAATAAGCATCAACATACATCTACCAGCCATCATTCCTGACTTCCAGTTTGGATTCAGGAAACACCACTCGACAGTACAGCAAACAAACCGAATAGTAAATAAAATCGCAGCAAGTCTCGAGGAAAAATCCTTCTGCACAGCGGCATTTCTTGACCTAACCCAAGCATTTGATAAAGTATGGCACTCCGGTCTACTATATAAAATCAAAAAGTTTTTTCCTACCCCATATTTCCTATTATTAAAATCTTACATTACAGAAAGACACTTTCAAGTCAAATACAATACAACATACTCAAACAATTACTCAGTGAATGCCGGCGTACCACAGGGAAGTGTGCTGGGACCATTACTCTATCTAATTTACACCTCAGACCTGCCCACCACAGAAAAAACAATCATAGCAACTTTTGCCGACGACACGGCCATACTATCAACAAGCAGACATCCTCAACTAGCATCACAATACTTACAAAACCACTTAGATCTCTTTGAACAATGGGCCACCACATGGAAAATCACAATCAATCAGGCAAAATCTGTTCAGACAACATTCACCACCAGGAAAACAACATGCCCACAAGTCTCCATCCAGAACACACCAATTCCTGTGCAATCCGAGGTAAAATACTTGGGACTTCACTTGGACCAAAAATTAACATGGCAAAAACATATTAAAACCAAACGTCAACAAATGAACATGAAACTCCGTGAAATGTCATGGCTCATGAACCGTAAATCAAAATTATCCTTAAAGAACAAACTGATACTGTACAAATGCATAATTAAACCTATATGGACATACGGAGTTCAACTGTGGGGTTGTGCAAAGCCATCAAATACAAAAATCATCCAAAGGCTACAGTCCAGAGTTCTACGAACAATCACCAACGCACCCTGGTACGTCTCCAATCGGACGCTCCACAACGACCTGCAAGTCCCATATGTAACAGACGAGATACGAAGATTAGCTCTACTCTACAAACAACGACTACAAGGACATGACAACAGATTAATTGAAGAAATAAGAAACCCTCCCAACGTTGCACGGAGACTGAAGAGACAGTGCCCATCCGACCTTCCGAACAGACAAAATTAGGTTAAGCAATAAATTATAGCATCAATTTTGTTTAAGAGCATCGACGCTGGTTGATTCTCTACTCACGTGTCTACTTCTAACCAATTTACTTATTGCTCCTTACTGTAGTGAGTAGATTGTAAATTCGCAGAGAAATAAAAAAAAAAATCGTCATCATGAATTTTGCTGCGTTATGTTACCAAAGCCTGTTGTTAGGATTCAGAGATGGCGTTGGTACCCTGAGTGTTGCTTTGGTTTTCCTACATCTCATTGTCCCCTTGGTCCCCCCCAGTCAGCAATGGAATTCCAGCTGTGAAAGGTGATTTATAATTTTCAATGTTTCTTAAATGTCAGTATGGTATGATGGTTACATAATGCACAGAAGAATAGGTGTGCCTTTTTGCTTTATCTTAGGGCCAGTCCTCACCATTCAAATCAAATGAGACCAGTCCAGCGAGTCCAGCAGCCATCATGCTGTCAGATCACATGTGTCCTGCCAGTGAATTTCTTCAAACCATGCTGAGATTTAGATGAAGATAGAGAGGTGCTGTGCAGAATTTCATTCAAGTTGTTGGTTTGAATGGACTAGGAGCTGACTGAAATGAGCTAGGAGCCACTGAAAAAGGTCTTGGAGGTGAGGAAGTCAATTCAAGTTGTAATATGTAACTTGTAAATCTCATCTTACTGTAACGTATATAATGAGATTGAACTAGTTAAGTCACTACTGTAAATTAATTAATAAGTTGTAACAAGACTGAAAGTGAAACTAGGAAATAGTAACAAGGTTAACCTGTAAAGAAAGTGATGCCACATATATAGGTAACTTTCTCAAACCTAACGTAGTACCGTATTTTAGTTATGTTGTATTCACTTTCGGTGAAATCTAATAAGACAAGCTGTTTCTCTCAAATTGGAAACAGGAAATCAATAACCTTACAACCTTTTAAGGCTAAAGAACTTGACAGTCAAAATATAACACGTGCAGCTTATGTACTGTTACTCCACATGTCTGTACTTTGGTTCTAATCTGGGGCGTATAAAAAAACTTTCACTATTATGAGCATCTGCCTCGTGTCATCCCGTTTGCGTCAGAATCTGTCATGTGCCGAGACTTTTGGCCGAGCCAACGCCCAGATTGTTCCTATAAGTATAGATGATTATGATTGGACGGGATCAGACACACTGATCATGTCGCAGAATGAATCTCTGTTCGTTGACGGTTAGGAGTTGTTATCTGGGTCGTGGACCCTCATCTTTATTTTCTGTACCAACTGTGTGTATAAGGAATCCAGTAAACTTTGTCATTTTTCAGCATTCAAGGAGACTTAGATCTTTTTGCTAAACCAGGTCAACGCATCCTCTATTTTCGGCAATGTAAGCTTCATCAGGTGGCATCACTTCTGCTGGTCCGAACTCATCGCCTGGTGGTAGCAGTACTAGATATACATTACAAAGTGACATGGAGCTTCAATTCAATTCAGTTTATTTTTTGTTCATCAAATCTACATTTGGCAATGGCGCCACCAGATATAGAACACGTCCAAGCCCTAGTTACAATAAAATAAATCCAGAGGACAACGTCATTAAGATATTACAACATCCACAACCATTGTTGCAATAACTGATGATACAATGCTATAACTAAACACAGCATGCATATAATACTCGAACTGCAACTTATTATCATAACAAAATACATATCAACATTGTCAATAACAGAGCAAAATCATATCCAAAGAGTTATGGGCATCTTACAATAAAAATTTAAAAAATGACTAGTGTAGTTTTATTTATCAGTAATTAGCACAAACATCCCTTATTTTCCATTCATAACACTCACCTAAAAATAAAAAGAGCCCACCTACAATTAAATAATTAAATACAACATGCATGTAACTGGCACTTCAACTTATTATCACAATAAAATACATATTGACATTGTCTATTACAGAGTAAAATCATAACTGAAGAAGTATAGGTATCCTACAGTAGAAGTTTTAAAAATAACTAGTGTTGATTCACTTGTCTACAATTAACACAATCATCTCTTGTTTCCCATTCATAATACTCATCTAGAGAGTAAAAAGAGCCCACTTGCAAAAATTTTTTAAGGGAATATTTGAATTTATTTAAATCTTGTGTAAAAATTTTTATACTATGTGGTAATTTGTTAAATATTCTAATTCCGGTGTAAGATACTCCCTTTTGAGCCCTGGTTGATTTATAAGTTGGATAATATAGTTCATATCTTTGTCTCATATAAATGTTATGAATATCTGAATTTGCTACATACTTGTCCATGTTTTTAAGTATGAAGACTGATACTGAAAATATATACTGTGAATGAAAAGGAAGAATGTTTAATTTCTTAAATAAAGGCCGACAAGTGTCCCTATTTCCTGCTTTCATTATTACCCTAATTATTCTTTTCTGAATTTTAAATATGTGTGTACTATATGTTGAATTTCCCCAGAATATTATGCCATATGACATTATAGAATGAACGTAGGCATTATACATCATCAACAAGCTCTCTAGGGACAATACTGAGACTAGAACTCTTATAGCATAACAAGCCGAGCTCAATTTGCTAGCTATTTGTTTGATATGTTCCTTCCATGTTAAAGTACTATCAATTGTCAGCCCAAGGAATTTCAAGGTATTCGTATTATTAATTTGGATATCACCATGTTTAATATTTAAGCTTATTAGTGCATTTGGTTTTGTTAAAAACTGGACACAACTCGTTTTAGTTAGATTCAAAATTAGCGAGTTTATAGAGAACCATTTATTGATTGATTCAAGAGTTTCTTTTAGGGCGATGTCAAGTTCGTTAAGATTTGACTTGCAGCACAGTATGCTGGTGTCATCAGCAAATAAAATTGGTTTTGATTCTTTATTTATTGTATTTGGCAAATCATTGATATATATCAAAAAGAGTAATGGCCCCAGAACGGAGCCCTGAGGGTCTCCCTGTTTTACACCTTGCCACTCCGAAATTCCACTAGTAATACTGCTATTTAGTACTGTTCTTATGATGATTAGTGTAGGTAGAATGTCATTTTCATTTTGGTAAAATAAATGTCACCATAAAATTCAAAATTTTCAAGTGATGATAGTTTCTTTATTGAAGTGAGTCCAGTATTTGTCATCATCAGCCTTTTCTGATATTTTGAATAAGTGCTCAAAGACATTTTTATCAGTTTCATCTACCGTCTAAATTCTCTTTCATAACGTTTCTTGAAAGACGTAATATTTATGGGCATATTTTTAAGAAATACCCGACTTTTCGGCCCTTTTTCTTTTTCATTTGAAGTGTTTGTTGATTCATCTGTAGTTTAATCAGTAGTCTGAACAGTATTTTTTAATGCTAGTGGGGTGGGACTAAGTCCCTTGTACTGCGGCCACTTCTGGCCTATTGTACCAGCCCAAGATGATAGGTGAGGGTGATTGTGGAGCAATTTGTGGAATGAAGATTGGCAGGGGAAACCAAAGTACTCGGAGAAAACATGCCCCAGCACCACTTTGTCCACCACAAATCCCACTTGATCAGACCCAGGATCGAACCCAGGCTGCCGAAGTTTGAAGCCAGCGACTAATCGCTTGAGCTGTGGCACAGCCCAGTCTAAACAGTAAGACAACATAGAACATAACTGACATATATTTCCCAAAGTTCTTCTGGACTTTAATGCAGAGCCTAAGAATTGCATCCAGTCAAAATATATCCAGATAAATTTGGTCAAATTTTCTGCTGCTAGATATCGATGGAGTATGCTTGACTCCCTCTTCTGTCATATGTAATTGTTTTGCAGATTTTGACATCTGCGTCTGAAATTAGAACATAGCCATATTTCATATTGAATGATCTGTGATATACTTAATTTCTGTCAGTGAGATTATTTACAGCATATTCTGTCTTTTCAGGTATTTAGCTGTGGGTGAAATGTTTACATTCTTGTGCAGAATACCTAGTATTGCTGAAATAGTTGTAGAAATTGGTGAAGCTGGGGTGGAAGTTAATACAGCCTTTACATATGGCAGAAAAGTGGGTTAAATTTGCTTAATCATTGCATGAAATCTGTCAGATGCTGAAATGTACTGGAAGTGTTGATGGAAAATATCACAGAATAAAATTTCCACCATAGGCTCTACTCAGTTTTACAGTTATAAACATTTTCATACCGTAGTTTTGTTGGCAGTAGATGGTGCAAACTGCAATTTGATTTTGATGGACATAGGAGGGTATGGTAGAGAGTTCTTTTCTGAATCTTCTATGGAAAAGACATTTAATGCAAATAAATCAAATATTCCTGCTCAGTAGGAAATTGTTAGTACAGATATTAACATGGCATTGCATGTAGTTGAGGATGAAGCATTTCCTTTGTAACAAAATTTGATGAGACTGATCACTTGAAAACAGCTTGGTGTTTCTAAATTAATATTCAACTATTGCTTGTCTAGAGCACATTGAATGGTTGAATGTGATTTTCATGTTTTGGTCAGGAAATTCAGATTGTTTGCAGAATCTGTTGAAACTCATTTGAAATTAACTGAGGTTTCAATGAAAGGCACTTTTGTTCTGCATAATTTTATTTGGCAGTTGAAGAATGGTACTGACAGAATTCTGAGAAGGAGTTTGTAGAATAAGATGTAAATATTATTTAGCTTCCAAGTTTTAGGCCCACAGCTAAGTTCAGAGGCCATGTACATTTAGCAGAAATAAACAGACTACTACTGAGCCCCAAATGGTTCATTATAGTGACAATGTTAACACGTGAGACAGCAACTTTTGAAATTTTGTGTTAGTAATGTTCCTTATCATGTGTGTTTACCGCTGCTATTCACACCTTTTTTTTTCCCCTTTCC